GTTAATTACCCCCAACGAAATAGGATTTTACATGAAGATACGATGAAGGAAATTGATGTAGAATAAAGCGGATGAGATTTCGTATTAAAAAATAGTGCGACTTTTTGTAGAAAGAAAAATCTACGCTCTTTCTCGGAACTACCGGGACATTTATCGGGTTTATTTTTATTTTGTGTACTTTTATCATTTATGAATTTATCATTTTATCTATGAGAAAAACATTGGTTCTCGTTTGTCTTTATTACTCATGACTAAATGTCATGAGTTCTTAAGCCGAACTTCACAAAGTATCACACGCATATTTTGTTAAATCATTTTTTCAAAATAATACAACACCAAGATTTAAGTAATGTTCTGTTTGCTCATACCAAGAATTATGTGGCCTTTATTTCAGTTTTATGAATCCAATCCTTCCAAGTTTTCATTTAAGTACGCTAGTCTTTTCTGAAAACGCAGACGTAATCCTCGAGAGAAGATGCGAGCAGTACACACTGTGCACATTAACGGTTGTCTGAGATAACTCTTTATTATACCTATATTACATCCTGCCCTCTTCTTGCATTCCATAAAAATCTTTCTTTATTATCTTTTTATTTGGTCTTATTTTCTTCTGTGTAGCGTCTTTCTCTCCAGCTCTCCTAACAGTTTCCACAGTTTTATTCGAATTATGACCTTTATTGAGGACATCTTTGTTCCATCACATTTGCTCTCTGCCACTTTTTTTTTCTTTCCCGGGGTGCTTCGCTTATTTCTCAGGGGCGCAAGCAACGACTGCTTGCTTTTCTCCTTGGAGCTCGCCCCCGACCTCCGTCGTCGTGTTCGCTCGAGTGCTCGCTACAAGACTGCACTCTCCACTCACCCTCCCTCTGTCCCTCCCTGCGCCCTAGTTTCTGCCGCAGCCACCTCGTAATGGAGGTGTAGATTGTTCACGACGGTCGGTAAAAGCCCAAGCTGAATATCAAGAAGCAATAAGAGCACACATCTGACCGTGTTGATTCCTATTGTGGTATATTCGAAAGGAATATGTTGTGAACAAATTATTCTTTTGACTCTTTGGTCTTTTAGGTGGGGCAGCCTCTCTGCTTCAGCGTCGCCCATTGTGATTTTTCAATTATAATATTATTCTTTTATAAGAGATGAAAAAAGACGCAGTAATTTAGGAAGCCTGAAACCTCAATCTTAGTTGTGAAAAAAGGTTGTACGACAATCAGTGCTCAAGTATGAATAGTTCATGTATACGAAGAGATCATCAAGTTGAATGGCATGCAGTGCAGATCGTAAATGCACTCACTGACCTTCAAAGTTTAGACAATGGAGGACCTAACAATGGCGATGTGAAGTGTGATTGTAGCTTTCACAAAAGAATCGATCACTTAAATCTTCTCAATGCAGCTTCACTAGGCAAGCTGGAGATTCGTATGTATGACTGGCGATGTCCGTAATTGTGCCTCTAGACATGCTGCGATGGTGTGGAACGCGGCGTAGCTTCGGAGAGTGACGTAACAATGACGACGGTGAGATTACGTTCAAGGCAGTTACGTGTTCCTAATGCGTGCTTGATTGGAAAATTTGTGAAGCAGTGTTTTCCCAGATTGAATTTTCCGTTTATAACTCGCATAGCGCGGAAGAGCGAGTAACGACCTCCTCGACGGTCTGCGTCCTTGACCTCGCAGTTTCTTCGCCTTCTGCCCGAGCCGGCTGTTGAACCTCTTTCGCGACGGTAGTGGATGCTGCCTCCCCGAAGGAGCCGCCGCTGCTGCGCCCGCCGTCCGGGACGTGCCTTGCCGCTGCCACAGCCTCTCGGGAGGCGCAGTGGAGGCGTTTTTGCGCCGGGACGTGCCTGCGCGGCGCCCGCCGCGGGGGGCGCGTCGGTCGAGGGGGCCCCGTCAGGGAGCTGCCGGTGCCGTCCGGCGCCATCTTCGTCTTCCGCCATTTAATGCCTGAAGAATCAACAACAAAAATGAGAAACGGTGTATGCGGGGTGCCTTTTTTATTCAGTGCTTGGGTGAGTGAGTAATTGATTCCGGGTGCGTCAATTAGAAGTAATTGGTCTTGTAAGTGTAGTGCAAGTTTGTCCAATGAGGTGGCGGTGATCTCCTTTGCTAGGACGTGACATCTGGAACCGACCTATACACCGACTAGCGGGTTTTCCCCTCGCCTAGTATAGCCCTCTAGCGGGACATCGCCCCAGCCTGGAAAAGATCTAAGCTTGCAACTGACCATCCATCGTGTGGCTCTGTGTGTGTGTGTGTCCACTGTGGTGGATTGACTTTGCCTTCCACTGTATGAACAGGAGCGGAACCAGAGATACATTTTGGGAGAGCAAATTCAAAATGTTCTGGTCGAATGTGTCATCACAAATTTTGTAAAATGTTGCAGGCTACATTCAGCTCATGCTGCGATTACCCAAATATTTTTGTTTGAAAGTTTTGTGAAAAGTGACAATAATAGTTACTGAAAAATTGGGAGGGGGAATTTCCCTCCCCGTGAATCCGCGCCTTCTATGGCGGATGGTGTCGGGGTCATAAGCGGTAAATGGTGATTAGAGATAAATGGGATGATGATTCAGATGAGATAAATGTGGGGTAATAAGACAGTGGAAAGCCATGACACCATAACATTTTAACTTTCACACTCCTTTCCCAAGGCTTGAAAATGCAGCGTTCGGCTCCGTGAACTTGAACTCCGAAGAAAACCCCAGCGCCACGGAGGCCGGCAAATTAAGGGCCCTTACCAATAAAGAAGAGTAGCGTGGAGCGTATGTAATTGTTCTTGACCTACGTAACACTGCAATGGGAAATCTTCATGCACGAGTTAACGTAATATTAATACTACATTATATATACGCATTTATATAATCGGAGCAATTGGTATTGCATTTTGACTACGTCTCATCTGCGGTGCCGCAACAGCCGGATCCTGGAGGTCAAGATGCACGGTGGCTTCTCGAGGTTATTCTGGTGTGCTGGCGTTATCTCGCGACGCTGGACCTTGCGGAAAGGGATTTAATGAGGCGGGGAAGGCGCGCATCTTGCTCAAGAAGGTCTTTTCATACACTCGCGATTCTTCAACAGGCTCCACAAATGGCTGTTGCATGAGGAATTTTTACTGTTTGATGCAAAGTATTCTTACAACAAATTAAATAAGGAGCAAATTAGTATTAACGTAATGTATATAATATCGATGAACTCCTTTTTTAAGAACATTCACTCAAAACGTAACTATTACATCTACTTCTTCTTGTAACTATTGAAATAGACTGTGACAATTATATGCTTGTCTAATAGGTTAGTTTTTTGATTATAAAAAATAATATGAAATTAGTTTAACAGTCATGTACTTAAGTAAAATCATTTTAGTGTTGGAATGCACGCTATAAAATCGAATTGTGCCGATTTACCATCTTGCCATTTTAAACTATGATGCTATTTATTTTGATAAGGGATAAGGTAGGAAATCGCAACGAAATTGAGGTAATACAAGTCTTGAGAATTGGTCATTTGTTGCCTGTAGGTGATGAAAAAATGCTCATCTGTATTGGTAAGCTGTTGCTTTGTGACATGTGACTATTCTGGAATCGTACTTAAATAAAACTGGTGACAATGTTTAAGATAATTCGGAATTCTTGTACTTTTCTCTCATATACATGGAATGAAAAATCGAAGGACGAAAAAGGTAATTCACCAATGAAATGTGCAATGTAACGCCTCTTGCTGGGAAATTCGTTTAGCACAATACTATTAAGCTCCTATTCTGTTCGTACTACTGCACCATTTTGTGTTTTCAATTCCCTGGTTTCCTGACATCTTGTCAAACCTAGTTATCGACTTCCTTTTGTCACAGTTGTTTTCGTTGTGACCGTGAAGTACTCGTAGCCTGAGTTTAAGCCTCCTGTTTCTCACAATACCTCGTGCATCTCCTTCTCCTAATCTTGCCTCGCCTGCTGTGTGGAGCTTCGTCTGGCATTCGCTGATCAGTTTATTTTTGTTTCCCTCTACGGAAATAACTCGCAGAGCGTTGATTTGATTTGTGGAAGTGCCATTGGCGTTTTCGTTGTGGGTAAGCAAATGATAAAACAGCGTTGTTTCATCCTCGCGCGCGCGTTTTTGAGAAAGAGTTCTTAACAAAAGGTTCCATAAAAATACGTTTCTTCATTTCGATTATGTAATTGAATAAAGTACCGAATTTGAAGTAGTGGATTGAACTGGAAAATGTAGAATGAAATTGTGTTTTAACTTTTTAGTTGCCGTCTAGAAAGCTATTCAGGATTCAACGTCATAAGCAAGTCAAAATTCATAGTTGATGGCATTACTTTTAATTATTTGTTGATCTCACCTTAGAAAAATAATTTTAAATAAATTATATTATATATTATTTATATAAATTATAAATAAATATATAAATTTTAAAAATTATTTTAAATGTGTTTTTTCTTCGAACTAGAATTTTTCTCTCAGTTACATTTTGCTTTGTCAGTAAAGTTTTGTTGGTATGTGAAAAAGTTTACGTTGGTATTATTATTTTTTAAATTTTATTTTCAATAATGTTAGTTTTCATTTGTACGTAATTATGTTCGTTCAAACCTGAAGTAATGTACCTTGCGTTTGTGCTCAGTTAGTTATACATTTAATTACGTATTCTCTTTATTTGTTTTGACATCTTCAATTATTGCATTACGGGCCGCTGTCAAGGCCTGTCTTGACGGAGATCGGAGAGTGCCTCATTACAGCTGGAAGTATTGTCTGCATTGACTCTTTTTCTCCTCTGTCTTTCCGCCCCCTCAACCCCCCTCTCTCTCATTCATTCACACCCACACACATTCACACACACTTTCCCATACACACACTCACGCGCGTATGTTTATTTGTTCGTAACGGCATTATTTCTGTCCAATGCTTCTGTATGAACTGTTTATCCATTATTGAGCTTTTATTAATTCGAATGTTAATATTGATTTATGAATATTACGTAATTGTGTCTACAATTAATTATCCTTTCAGAAAGTGGTACTAGAAGAAAATCGTTGTGAAATCAAATAAGGTAAGGATGATGTGATAAAAGATATAATTATGATCTATGACGAAAAGAAACATACCGCTGTCGTAATATGTTCAGGAAGAATATTCAATTCGTATTTTGTTATGAAAAGTAAATGACGATGGGTTTTTGCAGGGAATCTTTTGTGTCATGCATTAATAAACATTTCGAGAATTTTGAATTCTACTTACGTACTCAAATTTAAATATAAATCATTACATCAATATAATATAATTCAATGTTAATATGTACTAATCAAAACCTTCTACTAGACACCTGTTAATAGGGAAGTAATTTTTAACTTTAAAAAGGAGTTTCATTCTTGCGTAATAATTTGTGCGTATAATTTATAGAACTCCAACTTGAAATGCAAATTGGAAAAAAAAATAATTATACTCTGGCGCTTTCCAGATTAGTGCGCTCAGATTGCTAAATCTTAATGAGAAACGACGAGATAAATATTTCCGAGACTCAGATTTAATTAGAATCTCAGAAATAGAGATTTTTCTTTCGCATATTACACTCTCGTTATTCTTGTAGTAATGTTATTTTAATTCTTGGGTCCATTAATTTACAAAGAGCGTTTCTAGAAAGAAATGTTTGACAAGAACTGCATGCCCACTAGATTCTTTTTGGAGATCACATGCTTATATTATTTTAGAATCGCGCATTTTGTGAAGTCTAGTGCCCGTCGAGTCCGAAAATGTTATGGTGGAAGCTCAAAGGAAAGAAGTGCACAAACGCAGTGGGCGAGTAGAGGGGTCTAGGGAAGCGTGAATCCGGGTCCAGGCGCTATCTATGCCACAACAATTTCTTATTCACTTCTGTACTCTCGTTTACTCAGTTATTCTAATTAAGAGTAATAAAATATAACGCTGAACTTGATTAATTTCCCAACCTCCTTGTGAACTTGGAAAATATTGTGGTCGTTTGCGACTCCCATTGCTATGTTGATTGTGTCAAGTTCTTGCCTACCTGAAATAGTGGCGGCCCTACGATTCGAGTGCATGTTGATAGGCCGACGTCGCAGAGGGGCGTTTTTTGACCGGCTTAGCGCCCAGCACTGACCTTTCAGACCCAGGGTTCATTGGTGAAAGCTGCTTTCATTGTCCCTCTTTCCTGTCCTCTGCGTTTGTGCTCTCTTTTCTGAAACACACTGTATACACACATCCCAAGTTTCCAACGCCCCGAGTTCTAATTTTGTAAAACGTTGCATGTCCACGTGTCAAGAAGTGACACCTCTACACACTTCACTAGAACAAAGCGCTTCGTTACCCAAAAAATGCCGAGCACGTCCCCGTGAAATGGAAACGTGCATGCATCAGCGAAACGAGTTCCCGGCGCCCCTTTCTCTGCGTTACGTAGCCTGTCCGCCGACAAGTCGTATTTATAAAATGCTCATTAGTCGGATGTGTTTCCGAGGACGAGTTCCCGGGATGCGAACCCGCCCATGCTTTGCGCCTACGCACTGAACGTCCACGAGGAAGCCCACATCCGCGTTTATTGCATTACAGGGCCTCGGGGAAAATCGTGCACGGGACCACTACCTACACAACCACTTCAAGGAATACAAGAAGATCGTGTATAGTATTAAACATCTATCATAATTGCTTCACCGGATGAATTGATCTACGCTATCTACTGCGCCCTGACTCACTCCTGTGATGCAATGTGTTGTTATACCGCCTTGCGTTTATATTTTAGAATATGTATGTACTCAATGTATGAGACTAGCTTGTTGTTCCCGATGTTCAAACAGTCATTACGTTTGCGGATCCAGGAGGTGGAGCATGGAGACAATTCGCCCTCCCTCATAAAAAGACAAGGTTTATTTTGTAATTTTATTTAATTTATTGTAAATAATTACCGTTAATAGATTTCATCGGATCCAAAACAGATTCCCATTATTATTATAGTCGTACTTTTTTTTATTTTAGCTTATACTTTTTTTTAAAAAAATATTTCAAAAATCTTTCTGGTTGTCCGAACAGAAACTGGCCTTCCGCCCAAAAATCTTTCAGGAACTGCTCATGTCGCCAGTAAACATAAATCCAAATCAGCGTAGTGGAAGCCGTAGCCCTGGAAGTGCATTCTGCGGCGCGGGGCGTGCCGGCGCTTTCGCGGGGGCTGGGGCCTCTCCCCAAGGGAGTGCTTCGCACACGCACGTGGGTGGCCGTGACGTCCGCGCGTCGCGTGGGACGAGCGAGGTCGGGAACCAATTTTTAAAGATGGCTCTTTTAAGACTCGCCTGCTGTGGAATGGGGTGACGTGATTACGTCGTGGTATGGAATATCGATTTTGGAAGGGTGTAGTTTTCAGGAAGATAAAGTCATAGCTGTAATTTGTAGTGACTTTTCAACTAGTGACTGGTGTAGTTTTGAAAACGAATGTGTGTTTTGATTTTTATGGAGCAATGTTTGTTCTGCATCTGTGGTTGCTGGTAGATTGTACTATCATGGTAAGTTAAAACAAAATAGACGCTTGTCAAGAATTTTTTGTTCGAAGCTTGAAACTTATGAGGTATTTTTTTACTTAATATTGCTGATGATTAAAAAACATTCTTAAAATAAAAACATTAGTTTCCCATTTTTTTAAATGTGTTCCCTTTAAATTTGGTGCATTTTTGCTCGAACTCGAAAACTGTGAATATGATTCACAGGTTCGTTCTCTTCATTTACTAAAATATACCTTGGAATGTCCCCGCAGGAAAGAAAGCATGGTTTCCCCCTTGAGCTCCTGAAACAACTTTGTATCGATTTTCAGCAGACAGGTAGCAGCAGAGAGGTTGACATAGTACTTAATACATGTCAGCAGCTGTTCCCCTTCTGTCGCCGCCATTCTGTAGTGAACGAACCAGAGCCAGCCTAGCACAAGAAAGGGAACTAACTGCATTTCTGATCCCCTTGTTCCTCTTTACTATTAAACTTTTATTTTCTATCAACATTTTTTTTAAATAACAGAAATAATAACTAAAATACAATCTTGTTACAAAAAGAAATGTAAATATTTATGTAAAATTAATAAATAAAATTGATTTTATTTGAACTATTTACAGGTGTAAGATTTGGTTTGGGGAGCCTCTTCCCCAAATTTGTATCGATTCCCCAAATTGTGACTTTAAAAAGGGGGAAATAAGAAATTGATTATATTTACAGAAATGAAATGATTTATTACATAGGATTCCAGGGGGGCCATTCGAAATTTTCAGATCGGTCTCTCCCTCCCCCCACGCCACTGGAACGTATTTGTATGCGTTTGTGATCTCCTTGCCTGCATGCGGGCGGATCAAAGGCTTAGTTAGTTCCTTGTCAGCTCTCCTGAGATGAAACAGAATAAAATATAACAAATAAATGTTTGGGGGCGGGAAAGGAATCCAGGCCGATGGTGAATACAAGCGGCCGACGGAGGCAAAGGTGGTGTCCGGTGGATGCGAAAAAGAACGAGACGGCGCTGGCGGATTGATTTACAGCGAAAATCTACATTGATGAAACAGGGCAACCGACTATTCAGGTTTTGCAGGATCATAACGCCAATGGGAACACTTCCAAATTACGGATGTTATTAACAAGGTTGAACCCTTACTTTATTTGTTTTTCACCTGTTGGTGTGCTGCCCAAACAAATTGTGCCTCTCGAATCTTGGCCCTCCTCAGCTACGTCAATGCGATGAATGGCTACAACGCGCCCGGCGCCCCTCCCTCGAGGAAAGGTGCGCCCGTAAAAAGCGTTGCTCTCCGGCAGCGAGCGGAAGCGTCGGTAGCCGTTATGAATCACACTCCACCGCTGGTACTCCGTGCATACTGATCTCCAAACTACTCTTTGTTTCTCTTATTCTGTTCCACCTCTGTGTCATCCCTGGCTCTTACTGCCCGTAGCCTAGTGGAATGCAGAAAGAGTTCAGTTTCATAAAGGTTGGTAGATTTCAAGAAAGTACAATATAACGGAAACCTGTAAACACAAGTGGCAATGGATTCTAAACAGAAAAAGGAAAAAATATGAAAATACTGACTTTTTGTGGATTGCAGGAGATATACTCTGGTTACTGATTCATTTCATGCCGTGTTTTATCAAGATGATCTCGAGAAAGGTTTGCTCTTATTTTGCATTCATTGGTTAAACATGAATATTATTCCTTCTTTCATACTTGATCAGAAAAAACATTCTCTATTTGGGAAAAGTACAGTCTTTAAAACTTAAAAACGAACTGCGAAATCAGTTGTAAAAATTCCCAGCAAGTGATGTTTATTGTAGATGATTTTTTAATTTCTTAAAAATATTTTAAAAAAGCAACCGTGAACCTAAAACCTTGAAGGAAAAAAAGAAGAAGAAGAAAAATATTTTTTAGTGATATCGTGGATAAATCTCATTTGGGAGGTAGGGAAAAGGCACGGTTAAACTTGTCGCTCGCGCTGAGCACTGTGTGAAGTCGTCGGCGCCTTCGAGCTGAGCCTCCCGCGTGGGCGGTCGCTCGCTCCTCGTCATGCTCCCATTCCCCTGGCCCTGTTGCGCCCGCGCCCCCTCGCTGCCCCGCCCACGCCCACGCCCCAATTTGGCCCCAGACGATGGCCTGGGAACTACGAGGATCCATGAAGTTTCGAGAACTTAATTCGTTTTCCTGGGATGTACCTAAACCACGAGACTCCCATAGTGTAAAAATTGGGAATTCAGTACGTGTTTCGTTGTTAGAAAACCACTACTAATAACCATTTAATCCACTAAAAAGGTTTAGTCACACCTGCGTGAACTTTCTCAATCCCTTTTTTATATATTCTTATGTTAAAAATATAATTATAATGGAAGCTGGAAATACAATTGAAATATGTTATTGCAGTTATTTAATTTATTTATATTGTCAATTATAATTCTGAGGCAGTTCACGTTGTGATGATTAAATTGTATAAATCATTCAAGTATGTGGTGTCGATGTGTCGACGAAATTACAAGTTATATTCGTTGTATAACAACGAAAATAAAAATTATGTTCAAGATGTCACAGTTCTGAAA